GGTGTCTCCTCATTTTTTAACAACTTGAATGCTATTTTGGAGAAAGATTAAGTTTAGTTTAAATTCTTCTAGATCCAGAACATTAAGAGCATCATAAACATTAACCTAGTTTTCTTTTTTTTTTAAAAACCCAAAAACAATAATAATTTATTAGATTATTTTTTTTTGGGGGGGGGGGACTATTTTTTGTTTTCTTGTGCTTTGAAAGTTCATTTTCATTTACGTATTTTCAGAGATAAAAAGCCTAAAATGAGTAACTGCTCTTTAAAAAAGGGGGTGGAGCTTCAGTCCCCTGTTTGGACCATGGACGGCCCAAATGGGTCTTCAAAGTTTTGAAAAACAGCTGGTAGTCACTTAAACAGATTCTTAGAAGGTTTGAAGGGACACGATAAAGTTGATCGACTTGTATGTCGATGATACCACTTTGTTCTTTTAAAAATGTCAAATTTCTCCCCATCGATTATTAACTCAACTGAAATTATTTTTCTTTGAAAACACTTGTTATATTTAACCAAGTTTTATGAATTATCATCCAAAATTCTACTTTTTGGTAGGTCAGTGAAGGTTTGTTGTAGGATAAAGGGATTAATTATAGCTACATTTTTGTATTGTGCTTAATTTTGCTAATTTTGAGGAGATTATTTTAATCTTTTTTGCTGTTAAAGCTAAAAATTATATTTAAAACGTATCACAATTAAATCTAAAGAAGGTCTACATCTGCATCAACCTCTTAAGCGTGCGGGTCAAAATTAAACCATTCTTTAATTGCAGTCGTGGGGCCGCACAAAATCACTCCAAGGGCCGCAAGTGGCCCTCAGACCACATTTTGAACACCCCTGGTTTTGGTGAAGCAACAACGCTATGATCTAAAGCACACAAGTCGTTATAAAAGTGATAAAATAAGGACATTAAACGTGAAATGCTCCGAGTTAACTTAAGCCAGTTAAAATATTGTGCACCGTTATAACTTTATATTCTTTTGATTCTTGTCTCGCGTTGCCTGCGTTTGCCTCCGTCAGGCTTTGGTTCTGTTCGACAGTAGGAGCTCTTACAGAAGCAGACGTTTCTATTTGCTCCGAGTCACTGGGGAGTAGCAGCCATCTTTTTCACGTCTTTACAACGTTTGTCTTGTAAACGTAACAAGTGCTGAGTGTTTTCTGGGCTCACTCGTAATGACTGCTGCTTGAACCAGACTGGATCTGAGCTGCTTCTCAGAAGTTGGTGTATTTGTTTTAGTGCCAGCTTTTCTTCTGATCTCTTACACACGTGCATGTTTGTGTCAGAGCGGCCGTATAAACTTTTGTTCATGTGTAGCCCTTCGATTCCCCATATATATGTGAAATAGCTGAACGAGTTGGAGGAAGTTTCCACTCTTTTGACGCGTTTTCAGAATAGCTGCACTTTGCACTTGGTTACCACCTTAGGCGGAGCCTTCCTAGGTATTTGGTCAGAAAACACTCGTGTATCACATGAGCTGTGCTGGCACTGATTTAAGCGGTCAGACAAGTCTCTCCATTCCTCTGAAGGGTGGTGGTCTGTTGTTGCTGGAGTCAGAGGTGGTCTCTGCTGGATTTGTCTGTGAAGTAACCTGAATGAAGAGACTTAAATGTTTGTATCTTTCAGTCTGTTTGTGCAGATTAAAAAGTGCTCAAAGCAGAGAAATGTGCTTTGTGTTAGGTTACGCTGTTTTCTCCTGGACACACAAGTTATCAGCAGATACACAAACACCCCCTCGTCTCTCAGTTCATATGATTACACAGCTGTAATTCCTTTGATTTAAGAGCATGTTTGTTTTGAATATGAACCACAAGTGTTGGTTGTTTGATAGAAGTTCTGATAAGACCGAGTTTTCACACTTGCACAAGCAGCATTATAAGTATGATATAACTCGTTATGCTTCTGGTTCGACAAGTCTCACCCACACTGATTTATTGACATTTTTCTGGTCCTCAAACTATTTGTATGGAATGACATATTTTAAACAAGTTTTAATTTAATTGGCATTACCTTGTAGAAATTTGAATACACTTTGACATTTTTTTGTTTTGTCAAAAAGGCAGATTAACATTGACGATGACTTTATGACGGCAATAAAAGCATAAAACATCCAAGGCTGTAGTCTGTTCCAACCCTGCTCCCCCAACAAACCTCAGGAAGTAGGAGTACTGGCTCAGCTCCAACATTTTGCTGCAAACATTCAAGAACCCAAACTTTTTTTTTAAGACGTAGCATTTAATCATCATCTTTTATGATTGTTCTAATGTAAGTTAAACACATATCCTGTGTTGAGATGTTAAATTTGATCTCAATGCGTTGTTTGAGATCTTTATGTACTGTTGTTTCATGAAAGATCAAATTTTACTTATTGCTTTATATCATTATCCACTGGATTCAGGCTCTTTTCTATTGGTTGCCAATTTGATCACTCCATAAGCACTTTGTCCTTTCGTCGTTGCTTCTGTATAACATCTGTACGTTTCTCTGCCCTGCAGTGAGTTCTCCAGTGGAGCTGCTCATCAGTCAGACTCTCTGTTGGGTCCATGATGATCTGGACAAGGTGGACTTCTCCACCTATTTACTCAAAGTCTGTGGTCGGGAGGAGGTGCTACAGAAGTGAGTTTTTCTACAACGTTGGCATCAGAGAAACATCTTTTCCCATGTGGAATTAATTTGTGTCCCCCCCCCCCATATGTCTTGGTTTGTCACGTTTATCTTGACAGCCCCCTTATGTCTTGTACAAATGGGACTGGTCGGTGTTTGCACTCATCTCCCTTCAACCTCCTCCACCACCTCTAATCTCTGATAAATGGGAATTGCTACACTCATTGCTGATGTTTAAAAAAATCTCCAGAAAACCAAAATATTCAAAGTTAGAAGTTTCCTCTTTAATCTGCCTCTATTAGAACTGTTAAATTTGTTATTTTACCATATAGTGGTTAACTCAAGCTAAACTTTTATTGACCTTATGATGTATAATTTTTGCGATTCTACGAGTATGTGGTTAATGCTTACAAAGATGTGTTTTCAAGTTTATTGTAGTTTTTAATCATACTCAAATGTTAAGTTTAGTTCTACATCAGAGGTAGGCAACATTTTATTTTCAAAGGGTCTTGTTGAGAATTGAAAAATAAATTTTCTTTATGACATTTAATCTAAAAGACCTTTTTCTTACTGTAGCATAGTTAGCATATTTTAATAAAATAAGTCTTTCCAAATATTCTGTAAACTGGCTCTTGTGACGATATATTACACACGTTAGCTTAACATAGTATACATGTTAGCGGAAATATGCAAAACAATGTTATATATTTGTGTTTCTAAGTCTTTAAGGTTTAGTCTAGTTCTGGAAACGCAATAACTTAAAAATATATATTTTTAAAGTTTTGCACGTTAAATTTCCTTAAGTCTTGTTGATAAATTGCTGCTGTTTTAAATTAGTCTTTATTTAAAAAGTGTTTGTGCATTCACACCAGCCCTGTTGTCCCGAACTCTAGCCCGTTTTCCTAGGAAGTCCGGTTCATTTGGGGAGGTGTGAACGCGCCATTGAACTCTGTCACGGAACAAAAAGCTGGACTCTGGCCCGTCTAAAAACCTAGGTCTTGGTCCGGTAGAAGAAAACTCTAGCGCGGTTCGAGTACAGTGTGAATGCAAACAGACCGGGCACCGCTCTGCAAGCAGGAAGAGGAGTACAGCGCAGGGCAAACAAACACACATTTCTCTTACCTCGTATGGAACCGTCAGCTGCCTTGTGTGGAAAACAACATTCTCCGTGTTCTTCTGCCTCATCTTCCGCTCATGCTGAGTCCATTGTTGAAAAATGACAAAACAGAACTCCTAAAACCGCTAAAATTTGACGCCACCCCGCTTTTGTTTTTATTTCCAGAAGAAGACGTGTCTTGTGTCGTTTCTTTCCGTAGTTCTTGGTGCAGCGCCCCCACAGGCGAGCGGGGGAACAGGTTGCTTCGAACATGTTGGCTCGACTGCACAGTGCAGTGTGAATGCAAACGCACCAGCTCAAATGTAAACAAGATGTTATGAATACTGGTCCCCAACCGAACCGAGTCTACCGGACTATCAGGTGTGAAAACAACCTAAGAATATCGGGGGCCTGATGGAGATTGTTCCAGTGCCGCTTTTGGCCCTCAGTCTGTTCTACATGCACCGTACACAAAACCAATCATCACTGGAACAGCTACATCATTGTTTTACTAAAAATTATCGTAATAACAGCCCTTTCATGATGGAGTTTGAATATATGTGCATTTGGTAGAATAACAAATGTTTGCAAATGTTGCTTTTGGGAGTCTGTTTAATGAGTTCTAGTAAACGCTTAAGTTTTGT